ACCACACAGTGCCTTTTCAGGAGAACTGATCAAAAAATAGAAAATGTATATTTAGAATTTATTTTAAATGATTTATAATTTATGCTTCTCTTAATCAGATTTCATGTTATTTGTTTGTTTGTTTTTGTTTTTGTTTTTGAGACAGGGCTTTACAGGGCCTCCATTATGTTAAACTTATCAGACTGCATATCATCAGGTTCACTACGTACAGGACTGGAGTTGTTCTATTAAAACTTGACAATAGTTCTAATAATTCCACGTTAGTCTGTAACCTTAGTTTGACTTATGTTCCTCGATCTAATTATGACATCTTGTTTTTCTAGCTGGGGAGATTCCCCAACAGGAGGCAGCCTTGGGTCTGGGAAACTCCATAGACTCCTATGACGTTAGACCTAGCCAATCGGCTTAAAGGTCAGAGAGAGTAATTCATTGCCTAGATAGTCTAAATTTTGCAAGCGGGATATCTGTGGTTTTCCCCATATAAAAACTGATCCAGGAGGCTGCCCACGGTCACAGATCTAGCTCCCAAGTCTGGCTGCATCCCTAGCTGGCTGGCCCTGAAAAATCCGAGGGGAATAAAACTGCCCCTGTTTGCTCTGCACTGCTGAGAACCTCAGTGTGTGATTTATCTGTGTGACTCCGGACCCAACCTATGGAGCTTTAGTAAATTCTGCCACCAGTTAACCTCTGGAGGAAACACTCTTCAAATAGTGTCCGCCCATCTTCCAATTTCAAGTTTGCTTTGTGACGGAATGCCAAGCTTTATCTACTTCAACCATTTCTCCATTAGTGTAGGGCTGGGGCTTCCCCCATGCCACTAATGCCTCAACTGATGTTCGTTAGTTTTATTAGGTACACACTTCATCGATTTCTAAGATGACATTTAGGATGTCACTATTCATGAACGGCACAAACGTCACATTACTGTCTTCTTATCCTCACGTAAGGTTTTGTGGTCCCTTCAGGAAGGGAAAAACAATGGTCGTCACTGAGGAACGAAAATCAGACCACCCCAATTTTGGTACCAGTTGGGCCAGGACTTACAGAGTCTGACCCAGATCATTTTATTTTAGCCATATTTAAACACATCAAAATTGGGGGAAAAGTTTTCTGATGCCAACTAACTCAGTCCCTAGTGCACAACAATTTAAGGTGTGTTTACACTGAGATTTTTCACAAAATACACCTGGCTTCTTTCACAAGAATGAGTACTGTTGACTCAGAGTGCCTAAGATTTGGGGTCTAGGGTGCTTGACTGAGGTGTCAATGCCTGCGGGTAGCAGGATTGGCCTGGCTCTAAGATAACATAGAAGTCACTTAGGCTATTGAAAAGCACAAGTGACATCACTCATAAGAATGGGTTTATGGTCTAGAAACAATGCTCAAGATCTAGGGAAAAAGGGTCTGAGATAAGTAAAACATAAATTCTGAGGATATGGGCAGAACCTGTCTCATCAGACAGCAAAGCACCACCAGGTTTTAAAACCACATCATTCCTGGCATTCCAGGAAGAGCAGCCCCGAACTCATAAGCTGTGTGTTTAACCTTCCTGGGCTCTCCAGGGCTAATCTGATCTGTGTGCATGTTATACCCAATTTGTGAGACCCCCAAAAGACCACCAGGAGTTGATCAAATCCATTGTAAAACACACAAGGATCTTTATTCGCAGCTCGAGCTGGACTCTCACAGACACAGCTGAGAGCCCCGAACTCCGGATTGTGGATGATTTATAGGTCCCAGTCCCTCCAAGCACGCCCAAAGCAGGGGATTCTAGCCTGGCAAGGTTCTATTGGTTAATACAGAAAAAGGGGATGCTACATTTCAAAACTGCTTGCTATGGGAAAGTGCCAGGACCATGAATTTTGTTCTCTTTTGCCTTTGCAGGGGGAGGGGGGTGCGTGAGGAGAAAGGGTCAGCCTTGGGCTTCAGTCCTGTCCTGGACTGATAGCCTGCAGCTAGGAGAGAGGTGGTCTATTATCTCCAGGAGCAAGGCCACCCACCCAGGTCAGTTTCCTGGCAACAGTACCCCTAAGGAGCAGCAAGGTCAACTGGCCTGATATGTTTTAAACTTTTTAGCTCAGTACCCCAAAAACCTAGTTTTTATTTCTTTGGTCTCTCATGAACAAGGCCTTTTTGCCTTCTACAAGGTTTAATTTTAAGTGTATACATTCTAGTCATTATAAGTTTATACAAAAAAAAATACAGTAAGATTTTGTAGTGGTTTGTAATATCTCTTTGCTGCTTTGTTTTATGGCTTTGAAAAATGCAGAGATAAATTTTCCACCTACTTTTCAGCTGGAGGTTTTCACAGGAATTTGTTTGTTGGTTGGTTTTTAGTTTTTGGTTTTTCGAGACAGGGTTTCTCTGTGTAGCCTTGGCTGTCCTGGACTTGCTATGTAAAACAGCCTGGCCTCTGTTTCCCCTAAGTGCTGGGATTTAAGACGGTTTGACACCACTCCTGGCTTGCCCAGGAATTTTACCCTACAGTTTCTTGTCATTTTTACCCATTTTAGTAACTGTATGTACAATGTTACACTGTCAGTTATTTTTAAATGGTGTTACATGTTACACAACAGATCTTGCATGAGTTTATTTGGGTGGAGGGAAGCAGAAGAGCATTAGAGCCTGAGCGAGCCCTGAGGGCAGAGACAGAAGTGGGGGAGGGGGTGCCCTGACAAAGAAAGAGGAGAGAGTGAGAGAGGAGCAAGACAGAGAATGAAGACTCAGGGTCCTTTTATCCCAGCTCCTGGCAGCTGCCACCAATGATGACATCACAGGGCTAAGGAACCTAGGAGCGGGCCAGGGCATCGACTTGAGAACTCACATACTACATCACATATCTTTCACCTGTGAAATTGGTTTTTTTTTTCCTTTAATAAAATAGCAACTTCTAAGATGCCAGCATGGTCACATATTCTCTCTCCAAAGCAAGGATAGATGTTTGGGAAAGAAGTGCACATCGCGATTAGCTTACGTCACCATGACAAACTTTATAAGAATCCTCCACAGGATTTCTGATGCAAATTATCTTTCTCTCAGATTGGAAAATAGCTTTCCCAAACAGGCATAGTATCGCACTTCTGTAATCCAGCGCTCAGGGAGGCAGAGGCAGGTGGATTACTGTGAGTTGGAAGCCAGCCTGGTCTACAAAGCGAGACCATGACACCAAATGATACACAGAGAAACCTTGTCTTGAAAAACAAAAAACAAAAACAAACAAACAAACAAAAATCTCTTCAGCCAGCACCAGCTGCTCCTCTCCCAGAGGACCCAGGATCAATTCCCAGCACCCACATGCCAGCTCACAACTGTCTGTTACTTTAGTTCTAGGAGACCCGACACCCTCACACAGACATCCAGACAAACACCAATGGACATGAAATGAAAATTTAAAAAAGAAAAACAAAACAAAAAAACCCCACAACTTTGAAAAGGGCTGGAGAGATGGCTCAGAGGTTAAGAGCACTGGCTGTTCTTCCAAAGGTCCTGAGTTCAATTCCCAACAACCACATGGTGGCTCACAGCCCTCTATAATGGGATCTGGTGCTCTCTTCTAGTGAGCAAGTATATGTGCAGGCAAAACACTGTTTACATAAAAAATAAATCTTGAAAAAAGAAAAATTAGACAACAGCTTTCCCATAGCATTACTTTAATTGTTATGCCAGGATCACGAGACCCTCAGAGAACACCAGGAGATGACTTGATGCAAGAGCAAGACAGCTTCATTACAAGAGTAATGGAATTCAGGACCCAAGTCTCACTGATGCAGTAGTAGAGAAGTGGGACCCCGAGCTCTGAGTGAGCAGGGTTTTTAAAGGGAAAGACTGCAAGCAGGGGGTTTCCATGGCAGCAAGCAGGGGGCACATGCCTTGACTTTATAGGATTGGGTAAAAGTCAGAAGGGCGAGGTGACTTTCTCTGAGGCACATAATCACAATTGCCTAAGGCATATAATCACAACTGTGATTCTACTAAACTATGTCTGGAACACTGGGGAGAATTTTCCCAGCCAATTCTCATTAATTATTGCCAGGGAGATTGTCTCAATTTTCTGTGAAGTATTTATTCTGTGATATTTCCTGGAGGCTGTTGCTAGGAGAGTTAACTGTTTTCTGCCAAAAGCACCTTCTGTGATATTTCCTGGTACCTGAGTTCAGCTCCTGGTCAAGATGGCTCCTCATTTCAAAATGGAGTCACCCAGGCTAACTTAAAATCTTTATAATCTACCTTATATTTTATACGTCTCTTTTACCTCTTTACCTTTGTATATCCTCTTCCTAAAAATAACAATAAAGTATTAAAATTACTTGTATTTATCCATTCTTAAGATTTGTTTTTTAAATTATGTATATGGGTGTGGGTGTGGGCCTGTGAAAGGTGGCGCCTGTGGAGGTCAGAGGCTTGACGTCTCCTGGAGCTGGACTTACAGGCAGCTATGAGCTCCTGACACGATGCTGGAAATCAAAACTGGGTCCTCTGTAAGAAGACTCGCAACCACCGAACAATCTCTCCAACCCCGTTTCAATGTACTGTTACTGTGTGAGTGTGAGCTACATGAGTGAGCGCAGGTTCACGTGTAGTGGGGTTGATCCTCACTTTCTACCTTGCTGAAACAGGGGCCCTCCTTGTTTCTTTGGCTGCCTGAGATACTCCTGGCTACCTGGCCCACAAGCCTCTGGTTACCTAGCATCCACCTCCCGTCTCACCGCAAGCGTGAGATTACAGATGTGTGCCACCACGTCCAGCTCTTCTCTGTAGTGGGGGGCATGGAACTCAGGCCATCAGGCGTCCAGAACAAGAGCTGGCTCAGGAAGCAACGTACAAAAAAGCAAGGGGCTAAGTCGACCCCACGGTTGAAAGAGAGCGACTCTGTGTTAGGAACTGCATTTTGATGGGTGACTTGTAAATTTCGTTAGAGAATGTTTTTTTTTCAAAAGTCTGTTTTATTTTTCACTTTACCCGTATGTGCATGGGCTAGAACATGTATGTGCACTACCTACGTGTGGGCACCTCTGAAGGCCAGAACAGAGCTGGTTGTCCTGCAGCTGGAGTTGCAGGCAGTTATGAGGCGCCCAGTGACGGCTAAAAACCAGTCCCGGGTCTTCTGTGAGAGCACGGATGGGGGCGTAGAAGGTGGCCTTCTAGAGCGAGGATGTGACGGGAACATCTCGGCGCGTGCTCATGATGTCTGCAGGAAAGGCAAAGGCCTGGGGGGAATATTCTGGGCTCTTTTCACATGACCAAAGATGGTAAGACCTGACCCCAGGTGTACTTCCTCGCAGTACTTGGTTTTGCTTACGCTAACTATAAATGTCACCTCCTGTTTTGCTTGCTTTAATAGTAAGAATGAGAAGTGCTTTGTTTGCTCTACTCTTTAGCTCAACCACCTGGAGTTCCCGGGGCCCTCTCACAGGTACACTAGAGTACCTACCTGTCCATCCACGGAGTCTTAGCCTTGCTGGCCACTGCAGACCAACATCTGCAGTCAACTTCCTTTCAAGACAGGCTTCTAGAACTTTGCTCAGAGCACAGCAAAGTTCTCATCAATAAACTGTGCTGAGAAACATGGCTAACCTATCTATATGCTAAAAAAAAAAAAAAAGAAAAAAGAAGAAAGGTACTAATTGTTTTTTTCTTTCTTACCACACACAGAAATAACTAAAGATGGATCAAAGTTTAAAATAAATTCTGAAACTTTGAAGCCCCTGGAATATATGGGAGACATTTTAGGACAATGATGTAGACAATTTTTGGGTTTTCGAGACAGAATTTCTCTGTCGCCCTACCTGTCCTGAAACCTACTTTGTATGTAGAACAGGCTGGCCTCTAACTCAGAGATCTGCCTGCCTCTGCCTCCCAAGTGGTAGGATTAAAGGCCCACACCGCCACCAGCCAGCTTCATTTTTCTTTTTAAAGAAGAGGACATCAAGTTAGGGGAAAACATGTTGAGGGTCAGGGAAGGGAGAATGAGGATAAATACGATCAAAATACATTGTACACATAGATGAAATTCTTATAGAATAGCCTAAGTTATTGTAAAAGAGAGAAAATATAACCTAAAACATCTGTAATGAACATCACACTAATGGCCAAAACACTGAGACCATTTCTTGGAAGAACTGGAACAAAACAAGGGTTCCCACTCTCTATGTGACATTCTTAGTCAATATATTGCTCAATGTCTCACCTGGAACAGTAAAACAAGGTAAATAAAAGGGACACAACACAGAAAACAAGATTTCAAACCAGCTTTATTTGCAGATGACATGAGCTCATAGATCTAAGGCCCAACATTCTACCAGAAAACTCTTGGACCTGAGAAACAATTTCAACAAAGAAGGATATATAGTCAACATGCAAAAGCCGGCAGCTTTCTACAGGAAAAAAAAAAAAAGACAACGAACTAGTTGAGAGGAACAAAAAAATCATGAAAGAATCTAATTAACAATAGCTTGCAAATCAGAGAAAATAAACCTAATCAAGAAAGTGAGAGATTTCTATAATGAAAACTTTAAGAGACTAAAGAAATAAATAAAAGCCAGACATGGTGGCACACACCTTTAATCCCAACACTTGGGAGGCAGAGGCACTTGATCTCTGAGTTTGAGGCTAGCCTGGACTACAGAGTGAGTTCCAGAACAGCCAGGGCTATAAAAAAAAAAAAAAAAAATCCCTGTCTTAAAAGACCAAAAGGAGCCCATATCATAGTCAGCCCCGACTCCGACTCCCCTTACTAGGGAACCCACATGCACCCTGAGCTGCCATCTGTTACATCTGTGCAGGGGCCTAGGTTCAGTCTATACATGGTCCTTGGTTAGGGCTTCAGTCTCCATAAAGTTACTTGGCTCTCTTGGTCTTCTTGTGGAGCTCCTGTCACCTCCAGGTCCTTCCATCCTTCCCCCCACTTTCCCACAAGACTCCCTTGATGAACTGGAGTGGGGAGGGACTCCTCTTTTCTGAGGAATAGGAAAAAGGGATGAGGAAAGAGGGAGGGAGGGTGGGATCGGGAAGAAAGAAGGTAGGGGAGCATAAGCGGGATATAAAGTGAATAAATAATTAATTCAAAATCTAAATGAAAAAACGATCAGTAATAGAAAACAAAACATCAAAAAATAAATAAACAGATAAACAAACAAAAAGGATGCTAGCAGTTAGGAAGCCTGCTTACGCTCGTGGATTGGCAGAATAACTGTTTGAAAATAGCTGAGTATATAGGAAAAGAAGAATCCTTAATTCTGCTGGAGAGATGGCTCAGTGGTTAAGAGCACTGGCTGCTCTTCCAGCGTTCCTGAGTTCAATTCCCAGAAACCACATGGTAGCGCATAACCATCTATAGTGAGATCTGGTACCTTTCATGGCCTGCTGGAACATACGCAGGGAAAATAGTTTATACATAATAAATAAATAAATCTTTTAAAACTCTGCTGCTGAGAATTAAAGCTGTTCAGCTACTGTGGAAATCAGCATGAAGGTTCTTAACAACAACAACAACAACAACAAAACATGACCCAGGGATACCATTCTTTGTTATACTTCCAGAGGGCTCTCGGTCAACCTACCAGAGAAACTCGCAGCACTGCGGTACTCACGGTGCCCAGGAAATGCCAGGTGTCCACCAGCAGATGGGCAGATAGAGAAAATGTACCTGTGGTGGCACAGCCTTTAATCCCAGACCTCTGGAGGCAGAGACAAACAGATGTTTGTGAGTTCTAGGCCGGCTAAGACATAGCGAGGCCTTCTTTAAAAACCAACGAGTACATTCGTAAAATCCAGCAGAATTTCACGCAGTCACGATGAAAAATCAAGTGACTTTTTCAGGAAAAGCAAGTGAACTGGAAAACATTTTGCTAAAATGGCTCAGGCTGGCGATGACAAACACTTCACGCTTTTCCTTTGGTGAAAATCCCGCATTAAAACATATGAGTGGGTTTGTGGGGCTGGGAGGGCATAAGAGCGCACGTGATGGAAATGGGTGATGATGCAACAGAAGACACCATCTGGGAAAGGAGAGCAGTGAGAACACACCATTACGTTCAGTGCCAACCTCCAAACCAGCAAGAAGCTGACACTGTAAACTGAAAATGACGATGGGACATAGGTCAGCGGCAGGGCACTTGCCTGGCAGACAGAGGCAGGTTTAAGCCCCTAGCTCAGCGAAAACTCAAAGAATGGAAGACCTTTTTACTCAAAGCAATGCACAGTACGGGCAAATCTGAATTAGACAGGTACCACATGATACCGTCTAAACAGAGAGAAGGAGGAACGGAGAAGAAACAAACAGCGGCGGAGAAATCAGCGATACTGGTAAGATAACTAACATTCACATGGCGGCTGACGGCAGGAGACGGCAAGGTGTGATGAGGGTGTCAGAGAAACGACAACCTCGAATAGTGGCCTTGAACTCAGAGAGCTCCACCGGCCTCCACCTCCCTAATGCTAGGATTAAAGATGTGCCACGAGCAGCCGAGCAGCCACGGCCCTTCCCCACTTGGAAGCATGCTCTATGGGGGAAGTGCACCGCAGCACTCTAATTTCCTTACATCCAGGAGCTATTTCACGGGCAGCCAGGGGCCAACCACTCAGGACAGACAGGTAACGTCTGTTAGGATGAGCCCAACACCAACGAAATCGACGTGACCCGCCGCTTAACTACTCGAAGGTGTCTTACTGATGACTCTTTGGAAATGAATAGTGAAAAATCCGTAACACAGAGATCTCGGATAATCACATGGTTATTCAAAGAGAAAATAGGTTGTGCCTTTTATATTACTTTTATCTATTTTTACAGGTGCTGTGAGTGCTTGCCAGCATGCACGTATGTCAACTGCATGAACACATGGTATCCACTAAGTCAAAAGAGGGCACTGGATACCTCGGAACTGGAATTACGGATGTTTGTGAGCTACTGAGTGGGTGCTGAGACTCGAACCCGGTCCTCGGCAAGAGCCTCGGGTACTAAGCAGCAATGAGTCATCTCCCCAGCTCCTAGTCTGTGCCTTCCATACTATTTCCCTCAAGATGGGTATTTCATGGAACAGGATGCATTCATCGCACCAGGCTTTTCACATTGTTTTAATGTGTGAGTTTTCACATGACTTTAAAAAGTAACTGGCATGGCTGGGTGTGGTCAGGCCTTTAATGCCAATACTCTCCAGGCAAAGGCAGGGGATCTCCGAGTTCAAGGCCACTTCAGTGACACAGTGCACTCCAAATCAGCCAGGCTACATAGTAAGATTCTGTTTCAAGAAAAAGAAAAAAATGTTTAGCTGGCTTGTTTTCTGCTGCTCGGGGGGTCTTTTATTAAATTTGTGTGCCTGTCCAATGAGTGCAACGATTTGCATGGGAAGGTCAGGAGTTCTTCCCGTCACCGTGTGAGTACTGGGGAAATAACTCCAACCCCCTGGAATGGACAAGCTCTTTCATCTGCTGAGCCACCTTACCAGCTCTTTTTGGTTTAGGTTTTGTTTTGTTTTGGCAGAGGGTGAGAGTTCGAGACAGAGTTTCTCTGTCAGTGTAGCCTTGACTGTCCTGGAACTTGCTCTGTAGACCAGGCTTGGCCTCGAACTCCCAGAGATCCTCCTGCCTCTGCCTCTGGAGCCCTGAAATTAAAGGAGTGTGACACTGCCACTGCCTAGTCTGGGCTTTGCTTTTTAATATTTTTGCTCTGCTTGGCTGTTGTTTATTTGATTCTCACTATATAACCTGGACTATCCTCAAATTCATGGCAGTTCTGTCTCTACCTCCTAGCACTGAGATTAAGCCATCACCACTGTGTTCGGCTTCCAAGTGACTAGGAATTTTCCTCTGGGCTAGACAGAGGGCTGAGCGGTTTAGACAATGTACTGCTCTGCAGGATGCAGGATCCGTTCTTGGCACCCACGCCATGAGGCTCGGCACCCCTGTGACTCCAGCCTCGTGGGAGCCGACGCCCTCTTCTGATCCCTATGGGCACCTACGCCAAGTGGCAGATGTCGGTATTTCAGCACTGAATAAATAAAACGGCACATAAGTAAAAGTGAGTCTTAAGTTCTTTTTTCTATTTCTAACAGTTTGAACTTTTGACTCAGTGTGTACTAGTCTCTTGAATTTATTTACTTAGCAGCGGTAGTTTTGCGACGGTACCTGTTAGCCTTGCTGGCCTGGAGCTCACTGTAAACCAGGCTGTTCTCAAGCGCACAGGCCTCTGCCTGTCTCTGCCCCCAGCTGCTGGGCTTAAAGGCACGTGCCACCATGCCTGGCCGGGCTAATTTTACCACGTGTTTTAGGCAGTGATAGGCTTCTTCCGGGTGGACAAGCATTCCACCCCAGTGCTACCCTCCCGTCCTCTGAAGGGCACTTCTGAGACACGAGCCCACGGGATGTTGCTGTTCCCTGCTCAGGGTCCCGCTTTGGCTCTCCACCGGTGTCTCCCCGGCCTCCAGGAAGTCGGAAGGCATCGCCACATTCAGTATTTATATGGATTACCCCACTGGAAGTCCCGAGGAGGCCACAGAGGTGCTCGACGCGAGGGGTGTGTGCTTCCGTGCTTCTGAAGGCGACTGGCGCAGGGGCGCCGGGACGTCACTGTGGCTTCTCCCTGTGAGACCTCATGTGGGCCTGGCAGTTCCCGGAGCGGCTGAAGGTCTTCCCGCAGTGCGCGCACTCGTAGGGCTTCTCGCCGCTGTGGGTCCGCTCGTGCTTGTGGAGGGTGCTGGGGCAGCTGAAGGCGCGGCCGCACTCGGCGCAGGCGTAGGGCCGCTCCCCGGTGTGCGTCCTCCTGTGCACCCGGATGGAGCTGGAGCTGGTGAAGACCTTCCCGCACTCCTCGCACTCGTAGGGCTTCTCCCCGCTGTGGGTCCGCTTGTGCCTCTGGAAGGAGCTGGCGCGGTTGAAGGCCTTCCCGCACTGGGCGCAGGCGTAGGGCCGCTCGCCGGTGTGCGTGAGCTCGTGCCGCTGCAGGGCGCTGCGGCAGCGGAAGGCGCGGCCGCACTCCCGGCAGGCGTAGGGCCGCTCGCCGGTGTGCGTGCTGCGGTGCAGGCGGATGGAGCTGGAGCTGGTGAAGGTCCTGCCGCACTGCGCGCAGGCGTAGGGCCGCTCCCCGCCGTGGACGCGGAGGTGCGTCTGCAGGTAGGCGGCGCGCGTGAAGGTCTTGCCGCACTGGCGGCAGGCGAACGGCCGCTCGCCCGTGTGCGTCTTCGCGTGCCGCTGGAAGGAGCTGGGGCAGCTGAAGGCGCGGCCGCACTCGCGGCAGGCGTAGGGCCGCTCGCCCGTGTGCGTGCGCTCGTGCCTCTGCAGCGAGTTGGGGCTGCTGAGGGCCTTGCCGCAGCGCCGGCACTCGTAGGGCCCCCCGGCGCCGTGCAGCCCCTCGTGGAGCCGGACGGAGGCCTGGCTGACGAAGGCCTCCCCGCACGCCGCCGCCGCGCGCTCGGGGGGCCCGGCCCCCGCGTGCGCCACCATGTGCCGCCGGAAGGTGGCCAGCGAGAGGAAGGCCTGGCCGCACTCGCCGCACTCGCGGTACGCGTCCTCCCGCTCGTGGAGCTTCGCGTGGACGCGGAGGGAGCTCAGGCGACCGAAGGCCCTGTCGCACGTCTCGCACCTGAAGGGCCTCTCGTGGGTGTGGGTCCTCGCGTGTCTGCGCAGGGAGCTTGAGCAGTTGAAGGCTTTCCCGCAGTCCCCGCACCGGTGGCTTCTCTCTCCACCAGGAGCGCGCTCCCGGTCCCGAGGCGTGGAAGTGCCCGCGTCCTCACCCGGTGGGCAACTCCTGTCTTTATCGTGGCCTCCTTCGCGCGTCTGGGGTGAAGAGGGGGATTTAAGGGCCTCTCCGCATCCCTTAGGTGCGCAGGGCCTGGGTCCCCCGTGGGTCATAATGTGCCTCTGAAAGTTCGCCAGGGACACAAAGAGCGATCCGCAGCTTTTGCATTTATATCGAGTCTCTCTCGTGGGAACCCTCTTCCCACCGTCTTCTCGGCGCTCGGGCGGCCTGTGTTTGCTGTGAGTGCCCACGTGACTGTGAAGAGACTCTTCTTCCTCGCTCAGCCTGAGATCTGGCATCCGGCTTCCTTCACACGGACTGTGTCCTTCTCTTTCTGAAGATCTCTCTACCGCAGGCCTTCGGTAAAAAAAAAAAAAAAAAAAGTGAGACACATTATTCAGGTGGATGCAAACCAGAGTCACCTGGGGAGGAAGCTCAGTTGAGATCTGCCGTCCTCAGACTGGCCTTTGGGCATATCTACCTGGCTCTTCTTGACTAGTGATCAAGAAGTCCCAGCTCACTGACGGCTACTCCTGAACACATGGTCCCAGCTGTATGAGAAGGCAAGCTGAGCAAGCCATGGGGAGGGAGGGCAGTGTCCTGACTCAAGTTCCTCCATGACTCCCGCAGCGGTACACTGTGACCTGGAGGTGGAGGATGAAATGATCCTTTCCTCCTCCAGTTGCTTTGGTCAGTGTCTTATTTAAGTTTTATGATGAAGGAACTTCTGCAGCTTTTCAATACATGCGCACTGTTAATACTGTCAGGAAAAAAGAGGAAGGCTCTTGGGACTTCTTGGGCATAAAGTAGGTAACTGTTCTGTAAAGCGTTGGAATGCAACTAATATTCAAAACACTAGTATTCAGATTTGGGGCATCTTGACAGAGACTGACACTGAAGTAGCATATATGCAAAAATTAAAAATGTAATTGTAAAAAATCGAAAGACAAGTCTGAAATAGGACTTACTACTTATGGGGTTTGGGTTTTTGTTGTTATTGATGTTTTTGTTTTGTGAGCAATATATCTCTATCGTCCCAGATACTAAAGACTTTAAACAGATTAATCACGTGAATCCATAGGTTGAATCGAACTTCAATGACATCATGATAAACCATGATATGTATGTATATATATGTACACACACACACATATATAGACATATATATATTCAGACTTTATGTCACACTACTGGGAACTATTTCCCCTATTGAATACAGATTACCTTAGGTCTCTTCCAAGAGTTTTGTACTGATCTTCAATGTGCTGACCTTCCCACTGTATTCCTAAAATGTAAACCAGAGAAAACAGCGGAAATTACCATAGTTGGAAAAGTTACTGAATTCTGTTTTCATGTCTCTTCCCATTTGCTAAGTCACTGAACGTGGCTAGTAAGACGCGACTTTCCTCAGACGATGATGGGAAGGAAGGCTGTCACCTTACCCACGGCGCTCAGGTTCCTCACAGTCTCCAGCATCACATCCTTGTATAGAGTCTTCTGAGATGGATCCAGCAGAGCCCACTCCTCCTCGGTGAAGTTCACGGCCACATCCTCAAAGGTCAGTGACTCCTACAACATCCCACACGATACACAGAGGAGGATCCGTGAGACACGTAAAGCTGGGTGTCTAGGCTCGGTGTATGAGCAGTTTCTTTGATTCTGATCTACAAATGTCTAGTCCATGACTATCGGAATCTTACTCTCTCACGACATTAACACCGCCTCACAGAAACAAATTACACAAAAGAAATATTGCTAAGGGCAGCAGCAAACCGTGGACACCTCTGTGAGAGTAGGAGGCACAGTAAGACCTGACCCTAAGTCACTTGCAGTTTTTCCTACAAACGTCTACTGCTGTCAACACAATTCTGCTCCTGCGGGAGCAGTATGACAGTACTTTGGCTCAGCACATAAAGCACTTGTTGTACACCTGAACCCATGGTGCACACATAGCCACACACACACAATATGCAAATAAGTAAAAATAATAAAATAAAATTTAAAATGCATTATTTTTACATTTGACCTTTGCTTCTAGTTGGTAAATGAAAACTTGGAAGGGTTTTCATAACACTAAGTAGCTTATTTTCCCTAAATATTTATGCAGTGTATTTACTATTGCTAGGCATAATGTCACAGCCTTTAATTCCAGTACCTGGGAAGAGACAGGTGAGTATCCATGAGTTCCAGGACAGCCAGGGATACACAGCAAGAACCTGTGTCTACACACACACACACACACACACACACACACACACACACACACAAACAACTTCCCTTCTTAGTCCCTACCACACGTATATACCTGGATACATCACATCACTCCAAGTTTGTACATGTCGATTTTAGCCCATTATGTATTAACTCTAAGCATATAGAAATGTGTATCATGTTTCCTCTACAAATGTAAGTGTGACGTCACAACCTCACTCTTCTAATGGGAAAGGTGACATTTACTAAGTTCTGTCACATGTGCATGAAGAAAGGTGAAGTGGTACATAACCTTTGAAAGAACCCAAGAAGTCAACCAATGGAAGAATGTACAAAATTCTGGAAAGCCTCCAGGAAACATTTCAGGAACCAACAAAGCCACTTTTTAAATCTCCTGACAAGTACCAAATGTCAGGAACTGATTCAGTGGTAGAGCACATTATCTTAAGTAGACTTAGACTAGAAAAATAACACAGAAAATGTCTAACGCTGGTCAAAGCCTTCTGCTCAAGAAAGCAATGAGGGAGCTGGAGAGACGGCTCAATGGTTAGGCACAATTATTGCTCTTTTATCAAGCAGCCTGTAACTCCAGCCCTACAGGGCCTGACACCTTCCTCTAACCTCTGCAGGACTGCATTCGTGTGCACAAACCCACACACATAATTTAAAAATAATAAAATAAAAGAGAAACAGCAACAAACTGAATGTACAATGGTATACAACCGAATTTCTATAGAGACAGTATCCTTTAGCCCAGGCACTTCAAGGCCAGCCTGAAAAACAAGAGCAAGAACCAGTTTCCAAAAACAGAATCAGAACAACTAATAGCCTGCTCACCCAAATCAAGGATTATCAGGTCTACTATTCTAGATACTTGAATGGCAGGCTTCTATAAGGGACAGGAAGTAGCTTCAGGTGGTCAACATTTATATGGAAAATTGATTAATGATAAGGTATACATTGTACACACAGAGGGCCAAAACACTTTTATAAAGATAAGGATAGTATCTGCTACCTACATGAAAACAAACTAATTCCTTCTTGGCTACGGACAATAGTCTACTGACTATGTTTCAAGGTGGAAAATATAACTACAGAACTTTCACATACACAGAATTCTCTGATACAAAAAGAAGAAGAAGAAGAAGAAGAAGAAGAAAAAAAAGGTATTGTGTATGTCTGTAATCATTAAGACTCAGAAGCCTGAGGGAGTAGTGTCATCATTTTGAGAGCAATCCAATCCAATCTGAGACCAGGCTTAGTACATGGTAAAACAATGCTTCACAATAAAACATGCAAGAAAAAAAATTGTAAAGGAGTAGTTCATGAATGAAGAAACATTTGACAGATTTAATCTTAATAAAATTAAAGGACAGCAAAAGTGGAAGAATGTATCTAGGATACCAATGAGATAAAACAAGTCTGAGTCTGAGACCATTCTGGTCTACATAGCACATTCCAGGCCTATACGATGAGTCTCTATCTCCAAAAAAAAAAAAAAAATTGTTTGTGTAGAATTAAAATGAATGTTATTTTTAAATTAGGAAAACACCGTAAGACTTAACAGAAAATATAAGACCATACAAGAGAACAGGTCCATCTCCTTGGTAATGAGGAAACAACCAGACAAACTAACAAGGAAGTAACACGACAGATTAACAGACCATGGCAAGAGCGGATGACCAGAAAGAACAAATACAGCTTACTGTGAATAAAGAAGGGGTTGGCTAGTAAGCTAACTTCTAAGGACTGGAGAAATTTTAATGCACTTGTCCTTGAAGGCACATACAAGATGACAGGAGCCGGCTTTACCAGAAGAACAAAAAGTGAATTTGAAAAAGCCAAAACAAACAATGGGGTGGGGGAGGGAGTGCACTGGATGGCTTCTGCCTCAGAACATGTGTAAACCAAACCCGACAAAGAAACTGCTGAATAACCTCCTCCATGTAGTGTCACTGATCATCTGTTGACCTATCAGCAGGTCAAATTAAGAGAACACAGCTTAACAGAAACTAGGAGATAACACAGTTGAGGCACAGTTCAGGGTTTGATATTGTGTAACCTGGGTAAGACCCTGGACTCAATCTTCAGCAAGGAAAAGACAAGAATGGTAAAGATCATAAAATATAATCAAGGAATCTGGTCACCAATGGGACAAGATGGATGTAAGTCAAGGGATGGGATAATTAGGTGATTCTAATGTCTATCCAAGGAGCAACTATAAATCTTCAGAAATTCAAAGGACATTCCACATTGTTATCATTATGAAACCATTTTCATTCTCTGAGAATACTTTTCCTGATACAAAGTTAAAAGTAGGAACTTGGGCTGGAGAGATGGCTCAGCGGTTAAGAGCACTGTCTGCTCTTCCAACATCCTGAATTCAATTCCCAGCAACCACATGGTGGCTCACAACTATCTATATTGGGATCTGATGCCCTCTGCTGGCACACAGGTGCACATGCAGATAGAGCACTCATATGTAAGATAAATAAATCTTAAAAAAAAAAAGTAGGAACTTACAGTGTAGAATATCAGTATGCTACCAGAAAGTAGGAATTTACTGGTACAGTATGGCTCAGAGTAAATGAGGACACATATACAAATCAAAACATACACAACCAGGCAGCTGTGGTACCACTGGCCCTTAATTCCAGCACTCAGCGGGCAGAGACAGATGGATCTCTGCAAATTCCCGGCCAGCCAAGGCTACATAGTGAGAGCCTGTCTCAAAAATGGATAAAAAGTAAATTCACGAATGAGCAAGCTTTAAAAAAAAAAGCTTTAATTCGTACTTTTTCTTTGCCATATAATGTGGCAGTCTCAGGTTCAAAGTCACAGGTTTGTCAACAGAACCCACACAGAATCAAGAGGGAAGACTGGCAGTGAGCAGCAGGCCAGGGTCAGCCAGACAGCCTTCCGGATCAAGGTGCTTGGCGTCAGGCCTGCCAGCCTGAGTTTATTCACAGAATCCACACACTGGAAAGAACTGGCTTCCCCAAGGCGACCTCTAACCTCACCTCAACATACGCACCATCGCACATGAGTGTCCATGCACAGACAAACACAAGGTTAAAAAAGGGGGGTTAAAAACTTTCCCCCTAAGGCTGTGCTGGCCACCAGGCAGCAGAAATAAGGGAGGCCTGAGAGGAAGGAAGGCAGCCTGGCCTAAGATTTCAGACTTTCCCTGTGGCTAAGGGGGGATGGTGGGAAGAGGTCAGGAATAGGAGCGGAGCCATGCAAATACTGAATGTCCAGCCCCGAAAGGACGGAGTGGACATGGGTCCTATTGCTTTAGCCAGATGTGCTGAGGAGGCTTAAAAGTCACCAGCGGGCCTCGTTTCCATCCTCAGCACAGGAAGCAGATAGGATGAATGATGGAGAGACGGACGGACTGCAGTTGTACCTCGGGATCTGTGGCATCTGATTCCAGAAACTCCCAACATGAAATGTTAAAGCCTTTTCTAAAAAAACTGTACAGTGCTTGCAGGCCAGGGCGCATGACACCCCGGTTCCATCCCAGCTCTACATACACCGGGCATGATGGCAACATTGAATCCCAGAACTCAAGAGGAAAGGCAGCTTTTGTGCTCCGAAGATCATGTCGGACAACAGACGCACTAGTTACAACTGTGAAAAGCCAGAACCAATGTCCTTCAGTTCGTAATTGACAAACAACGGCACGCTGATGATACAGTCTGTTCCTGGGTTGTTGGTATAATTTTTTCTTTTTTAATGTATACACCTTACCCTTGTTCATTCAAATACCGATTTCTCCCCCACCCCACCCCCAACTGTCTGGTTTCAATCTGATATTGCATTGTGATACTCAACTCTTGTGTAAACAGGACAATGTAAAGCAACTAGACACAATGTTGAGCAGGGAGGAGCCAGAAGGCAGGAGAAGAGTGGGAGGAGAAAAGGGGCAAGAGGAGAGCTAGGAGAGCAGAGCTGGAAGAGAGAGCTTGGAGGACGTGGAGCATGAACCAGACCTAAGATTTCACAAAAAGCAAGTATAATGTGGGAAATCTAAACGTTAGGAAACTGAGGGGTTGGAGGTTTAGGAGGGAGTAAATATTGCCCAGCATTGTGTTCTAGGTTCACTAAAAACCCAGTCTCTGTGTGGTGATTTGGTTATACAGCTGTTTAGGATTAGCAGCAAGCTTTACTAGAAAATAAACCAATAGTAAATATTAATAACCACTTACAACACTGGGTGAAATAAAATATGAATTTAAAAAACACTGGTTTGTCAGGCCTTTATTTTTCATTATGTGGGGGACAGGGAATGGAAAGAATGATAGGTAAAGCGTAGACAAGGATTTGTGAGGACTGTTTTAACTGTGTGTGTGTGTGTTGGGTCCGTGCACATGAATGTGGGTGCCTGGCAGGGGCCCAGCAGAGGTCATCAGCTTCCCTGGAGCTGGAGTGGCCGGTGCTGGGAACTGAACTCTGGTCCTCTGCCCCAAACACGGGCAATTTTGAAGACACTAAATCTGTTCCACGCAATACTATGTTGGTGGATACACAACACACATTTTGTCAAAACCTACTCAAGTACACAAACAGGAGGTGAATTCTAAAGCATGGACTTCAGTGAATGGTGAAGTCATCCTTTCTCAGCATGACCATCTGTCACACACTGGCTCCTGACTGTGGCAAACATACCGCAGTTCTGGGAATAGAGCTCAGTTGCTAGAGCGCCTGCCTAGACCCTGGGTGGATCCCCGCATCCACTGAACTGGCCCGGTGGGAAGTGACAGGATTTGGAATTCAAGGCCATCCTGGGGTACACAATCTCAAAACCAGTCTGGGGCATGAGATTCGTCTCAAAAATACGTTATGTATAACGTTATGTACAATATCCACATGCTACACACAAGCAAGATGCTAATAGTGGGAAATCATAACGACGAAGAGGGGGTTATATGGAAACGCTCCGTACGATCTGCTCGACCTCCCTGTAAAATAAGAAACCTTTGAAAAATGAGATCTAACACACAGAAAGCCAACAAGCTATCCCTCCTACCTTACTTCAGGCTATACAAACAAAATCTGACAAATACTGCTCCATACACATACCTGTGCAAAAAACACTCAGGAAATGGTGGCGTACCAAAAATCCCGGGCAAGCACGAAGCCCAGTGTCAACCCAGTCACCTAAATTTCAGAGTTTACCAAAGAGGCAGAAAAGCAGCACACACACAAGCATTTTTTAATTCCACACACCGGCTGATGAACAGTCTCTGCTTTTACTCTCTTAAGCAAACGGCACACCCTGAGCGTGGGGACAGCTCAAAGAGCTGGCCGAGAAGAGACAGACCACACACACACACACACACACACACACACACACAAGGTTTCTCTGGTTAAGGCCACAAATACAAAGATAAAAAGTTCCCAGAAAACAAGATTCTGCGTTCTGAGGCCGGTTGGGTAGCGTACTGTCAGAACGCTGGCATCAGTCTCCTGAGCGCTCTCCTGGCTAAGAGATGGGGGCGGGGTGGGGGCGGGGAATCAGTTTGACGTACAAGTCGCTCAAAGAGCTGACGAGGGTGATTTGGAGAAGGAAATCTGAGGCATGGGAACAGCGCAAAAGGTATAGAGTACTCAACAAACAAACAAAAACTACGTGGGAGGCCGGGCGTGGTGGTGCATGTCTCTAATCCTTGCCCTCTGGACGTGGAAGCAAGAAGATATCCGTGAGTTCGAGGACAGCCTGGTCTAGGTAAAGAGTTCCAGGCCAGCCAAGGATACTCGGAGACCGGATCCCCAAATGAATAAACAGAGGGGAGGCGGACTTCGAGGGATCGCGGCCCCCCTCCGCGCACCCACAGTAGCGGGTGTGCGGACGCGCGGGCCGAGCTGCCCCCAGGGGCCTCCGGCCGGGTACCCTGCGGCCAGCTGAGCCGGAGGAAGCACTAGGGGACCCAGGTCCAAAAGGGCGCGGGCTGCGTCGTGGAGCTGGCCCGGTTCCGGCCGCGAACTCACCATTTCTGGCTTATGGGGAGTCCGGGGGAAGGACACCCGGATGGCTCTGTGCGGGGCCAGGTAGGGATGCTGCGCAGCTCCGGGAGGACCGGGGACAGCGCAGTGCGCGGCCCCGCGGCCCCACGCACGCACGTGCGCCCCCCGCGTCACGCTCCGTCTGGAGAGGTGCGGATTGGCCCCGGGCGTGGCCCCGCCCACCGCAGACCCCCCAGCTCGGGGCGAAGGACCTGCCGCCTTTCGCTCGGCTCGGGAGCCATGTTCCCTCTCTCGGACCCCGACCCCACCCGACCCCCGGCGCGCAGACAGAATCCTCGCGAACTGGGGACCGTGTCCGCAGAGTCCCACACTCCACTCTCACACGAAGGCAGGTGCCCCGGCCGAGCAGGGAGTTCCTCTCCAGTGGGGCCTCCACTCACTGTTTCCCCGCAGCATTTTGAGGGCATGGGTAGAGAGTATCTGGGTCTTAAGTTTCAGGACCGGGCCAGGCAGCCCTGGAATTTACACCTAGCTGTTCTCCAGGGCACGCTGTCTTCACTCACGCACTCTCCTGTTCTCAAGGGTACAGTATTTTTTTTTTTTCCTCTTGAGCTATTTTTGTTCTTCTCCTTTTTTATCATGCTGAGAGGGCTAGCCTGCCCCAGTCAGGGAGTTTGGAAGGACACTGGAAATAAACAAGCTGGACCCTCCTCACCGCCACAGTCTGATGCCAACAAGTACAAACTGCAAATGGCAACCCACCAACATAATTTAGATTACACATTCCAATACAGAGAATATCACCGAATAACGATGAATTTACCTGACAAGCGCCTAAGTACACACACACACACACACACACACGTCCTTTTGCGTTATCCTCTTACTAATGTACCCAGTTTAGTATTAATATTCCTACAATTCATAACAGCTTGAGGACAGGGGATCATACTGGACTCTTGGTAGAGCGCAATGAGAAAACTGTAAGTTGTGTTTTAGGTATTCCAAATAAGAAATCGGTGTGGAGCAGCAAGGTGGCTCATTGCGTAAAGGATTTGGCACCAAACTTTATAACCTGAGATGAATCCCCAAGACCTACAGGGTAGGAGAGAGCAATTCTGGAAAGTTGCCTTCTGACCTACACGTACACACGTACACACGCACACACGCACACACGCACACCCACAGATACAGAGATGAATAGATAAAAGTAATAAAGTTTTAATTGGTTTTATGAAAAATAACACAAGAGTAATATAATAAAACCTAATGTATAAACACAATATTGCTTAACTTGAAAAAATTACCATCTGAATATGTGTAATTGCAATGAAGTTGTTTAATATAACCTTAAGGAAAAAGGAGAAAACTAATACTTGAGTTAGTGTAGGCTAACTGGGAATGCTTAATAAAGTGCTTCTAAGAAATCTCTAGAAAAGCTTTGACAAAAAGCAGCTTGCAGTGTTTAATCCCATTCCATAAAACCCAGCTGAGAACATTCTGAAGATTACGAGAGATTGGTGGCAGGCAGGTTGGGGAATGGCTCATCACCAGAGCACGTCTGGACCTGAGTTCAAATCCACAGTGGCAGCGCTGGCTAGTTGGATGAAATTGGCAAGCACTATGTCAGGGCTCTGGCAGATGGCATTAGGAGGTCTTGTGACTGCCTGCTAGCCACGTGGTACTGGCAGTTGAAGCCCATAGGAAGGCATCTCGGGCAAAATGTCACCCTCTGAGGAAGCTAATGAGGGCTTCCTTGGTATCTTTGGGAATAGCAGCTGTGCAGGCCTGGGCTTGTGGGTCTCACACAGGGACTGTGCAAAGCCCATGTGGAGAAGTTTCCTAACCAGCTCTCATGTGGGCTCTCATGTGGTGTGTAGGAGGGATGAGGAAGACCAGTTACCTTGTGGTGACTTTAGAGATCTCACCTTAGGCCCACACGTGTGCCTCCGTGCCTGGTCAGCTCTTATTACTGAAGGTGAGTGCCCATTTTGAAGAACCAGCCTCAGCATAGCTGCAGGCCAGAGCTTGACTGGATCCCCACAGGGCTGTGGAGCATTTCAATCATCCACACATTCACCATTTGTTCAGGAGTTATACATTCGTGTATAACTATTTCTCTGGAGATCAATACCAGTGCCCTCTCCGTGTGCCAGCAAAGCTTTGAAAGCAATCAAGCAGGTTCCTGGCTCTTCTTGCCCAGCTTCCCAGGAGTCCTTACCTGGTCTGGGGGTCCATCCTAGTTTTGTGCTCTTCCACGTGGACACTCTGGTCCTGGGTCTTACAGTCCCCTGGGTCACTTGAAAAGAACCTCAAAATGCCGTGAGGATCATGCACTTCCCAGTTCAAAGGACCTTGAGTGGACTGAGAGGGTTGAGAGCTGCAGCCCCTCTCAACTAACTGGGCACCAGGGCCTCCAAAAGTGCTGCAGGAATCTTTCTGGAATAAGCATTCTAATACCAATGGGAATGGAAGAAGGGAGATGTGATGGTGGCCTGAAGCCAGGATAGGATGCCCCTGAACTCTCGAGGCCAGGTGCATTCTCACTTCATACGCCAGTGAGCAGGCAACCAAACAGATGCGTATCACAGTTAGCATGAGGGCTTTTGGATTTCAAAGGCACGTTACAGTTGACAGGTGTAGGCATTTGTGATCCAGGTTGCCAAGGGTTAACTGCATTGTATTTCAGGTTTTTCTCCAGGTCATTCTGCTCCAGGTAGCAAAATGAAGCCAAGTGGTTCTTTACATAAATAAAAAAGTGTATTTTCACCTTATGCTACTTCAACAGTACCCGTGTAAAAAGCCAGGTGTAGCCATGCACATCTGTACCGGGGCTTCGGGAGGCAGAGGCTGGGAGGTGTCAGGGTTTGCTGGCTGCCAGCCTTGCTCCTGGTTCAGCGAGAGGCCCGGTTTCAAGAGAGCTGGGGGAGAGTGATGGAGCAGGATGCTTCCCAGCCTCTTCTGGTTTCTGCACACACAAGCGCATGAACACACACGCACATACCACACACGTATACATAAAATAAACCAACAAGAAATATGTATGCATGATGTGATGGAAGGGCTCACTCCTACACCTAGACTGTGGCCTGGTCACAGCATTCACTGCATAGTGAAGAAGAGAACAAAACTCCCACATTGTGCCCAGTGTGGTGTCACACACACATGCACACACACTCGAATATGCACACTCATACACACCCACACGTATGCATACACGTTTCTTTATTATTCCAATGGTGAGTGATTTAACAAAATTACAGATGTTACCAAGTCCTGTCCTGTCTGAGTTAGGGAGGAGTCCAGATGGCAGGAAACAGAGAGCTATTCTCCATCATAAACTCTTCAGCTTACGAAGAGGAGAAACTGGGGAAAGCTGTAATCCCAGGAGTCAAGAGATTGAAGCCAGATTGAAGTTCAAGGCCAGTCTGAGCTAAAGAGTAAGACCTACAAAACATCCAGAGGACGGGCGGCAGCACGGTGGCTCAGGATACAAGATACCGGCCACAAAGTTCGATAACCTCATGTAGATTCCTGGAACTTGCATGCAGAGACAGTCAACTCCCACAAGTTCCCTCTGACCTGCACAGGAGCACTGTAGTGTAGATGAGCTTCCACATATGCAAAAACAGAGAAGTGTAAAAGTGAGAAGTTCTTAAAGTGCTGAAAAATGAGCCAGAAAAAAATTGAAAGAAATTCAGAGTGCAATATGAGGTTTGACGAGGATGACAATTGTAGAGAAATTTTAATCCAGCAACACGGCTGCTTTGATCACATCCAAAGACCTTCTCAGTCTGTGTGATCCAGCTGGAATGCAGACACATTAATACACACCTTTAATCCCAGACAATGACCTCTAATTGAGGGACAGACAAAGTGACAAATCAGAGACAGATTTGACGATATAGGATATGCCCGGCTCTCATGAAAGAGAGGCTATTTAATACAACACAGGAAAAGGCAGTTAAGTTTAGCGAGTTCAGTCAGGTTAGTTGAGGGAAGTGAAGCTGAGCTCAGTTTATGAGTTCTGTGTAGGGCATTAGAGGGAGATGAAGCCAGAGACTAAGAAACAGCCAAAAGAACAAATTGCTAGAGTAAGTTTGAGGCCAAGCAGGACAATTCAGAGAGAAGCCAACGAAGCCAGACTGAATCAGTCAGCTTGGAGAAGAGTTTGGGCCAGGACAGCAGAGTTGATCCAGCCAGCCAGCACGCAGAAAAAGCTAAAAAAGGGTGAACTTATTCAGCAATAAGCCTCTGAGACGACAATTATATCAGGTGAAAAAAAATACTTTCATATAGACACAAGTGCCATATCAGGTATGTGGAGGACTCTGTTTTCTCCTTCCTTTGTATGAGTTCCAGGGATTTGAAATCAGGTTACCAGGCTTGCATGGCAAGCACCTTTATCTACCGAGCCATCCAACCAGCCAAATAAGTGTTTTTGACTGGAAGCACGATTCCAAATTTCATTTGTGAGTTTGTTTGTTTTTTCAGAAAAAAATACAAGCTTATATAAGAACTGTGTTCTGGCAAGGTTAAACCTGTACAAAATGCTCTGAAAGCAGCAGCTTCTCAACTTCTCCAGCAAAAAAAGCTGATGGCTAGTCCTGCTATGAAAACTCTGTGCTCATGAAAATTGGGTTCAACAGGACGGAAGATGCTCCTCCCTCAAAATTACAGCTGGAAAAAGAAAAATCTTGCCTGTTTTAAATGTATAAATTTGCTATGTTTTGGATAACTTGGACATAAATAATTGGCTTATAAGTTATTAGATATTGTTAAAAATCTGTAACAAAAGTTAATCTCATAAACGATGTCTCTTTCAGCAAGCATAGTTTGAATCCTGGTTTGGTTTTTTGTTTGTTTGTCTGTTTTAATAAATCTGGTGTTTGAGACAGAGTTTGAGGCTGTGCTTGATTATGCAGCTGTTAAAGCTGCACCTCCATACATTCGTGTACAAGAAGTTTTCTTGCTAGCAACAAATTTTATAAGATCAAAATAATGGTATTAGTTCTGGAGACACTAAATTATTTACACTGTTAAAATTTGGCCTTGTCAGACTGCAGAGATGGCC